ACATTTAAGTGTGACAAACATGCAAAAAAATAAGAAATCAGGAAGGGAGCAAACACTTTTTCACACAACTGTATATGTATGTATATATGTATATGTGTATATGTATATGTATGTATGTATGTATATATGTATATATGTATGATACTGATTGTCGGGTTTGATGAGTTTTATCATTTAAGAGAAACAATAGTCATATTCTGGGTTATTTAATAATGACGTCACAGTCACAATTTCTAAACGTATAGACGCAAATAATTCATAAATAAGACGATCGCATTCCGCCGGTAGAAATGGATCCTACGCTTATAAACAGAACACAGGACACAGTTTGTTAACAGACTACAGAGAGAAACACCTCTACAGTGGTGATTACTGTGTCTTTATTAGTGTTATTAGTTACTGTTATTAAGTACAGTGATCATGTGAACAGACACAAACTTATCAAGTCTCTCCAGCTGTTAAAGCCGACTGACAGCTGATCCAGCTGTGATCAGCTGATCCTCCGTCATCATAAACAGATGTCGCTTCACGTGACGCAACTGAGGAAAGGTTGTCTCATGTCTCTTAAAACATATTTCCTCGTTCCTCTCTCCTCGCATGGTTTCCTCCATGCAACCATGGTGGGAGGGACTAAGACGCAAGGAAAGGACCCAAGTGAGTGAAACGGGGATGCAATTAAGAGACTTGGGATGTACCCTTAGTCCCTCCCACCATGGTTGCATGGAGGAAACCATGCGAGGAGAGGGGAACAAGGAAATATGTTTTAAAATACATGAGACGTCCGTTGCGTCACATGAAGCGACGTCTGTTTCTGATGACGGAGGATCAGCTGATCACAGCTGGATCAGCTGTCAGTCGGCTTTAACAGCTGGAGAGACTTTTGATAAGTTTGTGTCTGTTCACATGATCACTGTACTTAATAACACTAACTAGTAACACTAATAACTAATAAAGACACAGTAATCACCACTGTAGAGGTGTTTCTCTCTGTAGTCTGTTAACAAACTGTGTCCTGTGTTCTGTTCATAAGCACAGGATCCATTTCTACCGGCGGAATGCGATCGTCTTATTTATGAATTATTTGCGTCTGTACGTTTTGAAATTGTGACTGTGACATCATTATTAAATAACCCAGAATATGATTATTGTTTCTCTTAAATGATCAGTGGCGGCTGGTGGAAAATTTTCTAGGTCCATCTTTCAGCAAACATCCCAGTATGATTTAATGCAAAAAATTAAAGTATCAAACACGCATTACTACTTTGCAGTTAAATATTTAACATTTATTCCAACACGAAAAAAAGCAGAAAATAACTTATATAATATAATATAATAGAACATGTTTATTTATTGAGATGCCCCTATGGACCTTGTTGTAGGAGGTAAAGATCAGGAGAAGTAAACATGAAGTGTAATTATGAATACTGATGTTAAATTAAGCTATGATGAGTTGTCACTGTTAATTTACCATCTCAATTAAATGTTGATGCCTCCATGACCAAGTTAAGCAGATGAGACTGAGGACAGCTATGTAGAAGAAAAGATGTTCACTTTGCCTAATATGTAGCTTGACAGAGTTCTCCATGTGTGTCCTGGTGTTCTCATGTTTCCTTACCTCCTCATCCTTCACTCCCTAACTGTCCGTGCTGGATCTGTCCCCGTTGTTTTAAAAAGCTAAATAAGGTATTAGCATGACGTCATCTTGCTAGCCAAACCTGTCTGGTGTACAGTAGAGAAGCTTCGCATGTACTGCTTCCCTTTCCCGCTAGTCTGCTGTCTGATTGTGAGGTCAGACTGATCTGGGATCAGCTCTTTGGCCTGCAGAATCTCCGCCAAAGTTCTCCTCTCAAACGAGACTTGGAGGAGTAGTGCTCGCGCTCGCCTGTAGAGACTTCTCCTGACGAGAACGCGCAGCTAGGGGGGCAAAATCTTTTTGGTCCCACGCTGAATCTATTTGAGGGCGCTGATTGGCTAAATTGTATGTCACTCATTTATATCTTTAATCAGCAATTGGCTAAACTGCTTCATAGACCCGCCTCTTTTGGGCAAAAACGATTTTGCCCCCCTTGCTGCGCGTTCTGAGACGTGTTGTGCACACAGGCGGAGAGCACGAGCAGACGAGCACACAGGCAGAGAGCACGAGCAGGAAAAGCATATATTTTGCGCAGATATCATATTTTACACATATTACTGGGTACATTCCACAGTTCAAAAACACAAATATTGACAATTTGTATAATTTATGATTATTATAATTTTTTTTTGTTTTGTTTTTTTGTGTGGCTCAAGGTGGGGCCATGCCCCATTGCCATCTATTGGCCAGCCGCCACTGTAAATGATAAAACTCATCAAACACTCAGGAATGATGTAAAACGTGTTTAGTCTCTCCAGCTCTCTCTCTCTGACTTTAATTGTTTTCATAATAAAAGTTATTGAGGGAAATATCAGATCATGAAAACACAAATCTTTCTAATAAATGAAGAAAGTTGTTTGTGGTCCTTTTGTTGTTCAGACTACATTGAACATTTATTTAAACCAGACGGTGAATCAGAAAACTAATCAAATATAAAGCTGGAGTTTATTCTGTGATCTGTCTTCACTCTGGTGTTAAACTCCAGTCAGTCAGTCCGATCGGCTGCAGCGTCCAATCACATGACTGATGAACAATGAGGGGGCGTGACGGCCGTTAAAAGACTTCCTGGAAGTCTGTTCTCGTGGTTCCTCGCTCATGGCTCCTCCGAGGTCCCTCCTCCGTCCTCGCTCCTCCGAGCTACGTTAGAGCTTTGGGACGGCCGTCAATATGGTGGCGCAGAAACAACTTCCAGTTCAAGCGAGGATCGAGGAGCGAGGAAATGACCATTAAGAGACTTGAGAAGCACCCTCAGTCAGCTGAGACGTGCACACGCGGAGAGGACGTGCAGGAAAAGCATATATTTACCGCAGATATCATATTTTACACATATTACTGGGTGATTCCATATTTCAAAAACACAAATGTCGACAATTTGTATAGTTTATTATTATTTATTTTATTTTATTTGTTGTGGCTGAAGGTGGGGCGGCGCCCTGGCGCCCTCTATTGACCAGCCGCCACTGGTGACGACTGAGGACATTGAAACAATTATATTGGTTGATGAATTTAGATTTCCTCAGTGTAGTTTGTATGCATGATTGCAAAGCTGTGATACATATCTTGGGACCAAGGTGAAATACATTACTGGATACAATAAAGGAATCAAAAGGGAATACCTTCATATAATTAACAGTGATTGAGACTGGTGTGTTCACTGTTTAAAATTAACATTTAACATTTTTTAATTTTAAATGTTGTACCTAAATGTAATGATCTTTCCAAACGAATAAATGCACATTATATTAGACAGTCAAGTATGTTGTATTACTAAGCAATATAAAAGTCCATCTCCTTTTGCTGCAACAAAATGAATCGAATCTGCAGTTGAAAAGGTCAGAAACTAATGGCGTAAACTGGCTCTTACTAGCCTTTGGGGAATGTATTTTTGTTGAGCTCAGGAGTCTTTCGATTCAACGTTTTCCGCTTTTGAATAAGACTTCATATCCCAGAGGTCACCGCGTGTGGCACGTCGACTGACGGGACGCCTTAGCTCACGCGGACTGTCTCTGGGAGTGCTGAGTCGAACATCCTCTCACCGTTAGAAACCGGCTGCTGTAGTTCACTGAATCGGAGACAAACCATTCCACTTCGAGTTGGGACGCTCTCACTTACTCCAAGGGGTGACCTGAACGTCAGGTTTTGGGCGGACACTTACGGAGACCAAGAACTGCGTAGCTGAAATCTCACACTAGTGAAAATCCAAGACCCACCATGGACCAGAGAGACACTGCCCCTGATTCATGGGAACAAGAGGACGATGTGGAGGCCACGATTGACGGACAACTTGATTCAGAATTCGCGTCCCTAAATGTGAACGCGAAACCGTTTGTGCCCAATGTGAACGCCGTCGAATTTGTACCCACTTTTGTTGTTAAAGCACATTCCGAAAATCTCGATTCTGTTGGTAAGTTCATAGTCACGTTGTGGAGCTACTTTAGCTAGCAGTTAGCAGTTGCTAACATGAGCGTGGGCTAGCTAGCACCGTACAGACACGCGTTCCTTGAAGCGCGACACACTGCTGGGGTGTTTGGTGTTAGTCATTTAGATGGTATGCCTGACACTGTAACTTTAACTATAACCCACCAACCGTGTTAATGCTACTCAGGCGTTCGACTGTAGAGTGGCCTCATAGCTTGTTCATAACTGTCTTAAGTCATCAACCCAGCCGGCATTAGCTAGCGCCGGTTAGCTGGTGTGGTTTCACAAGTGAACGCCTGAGTCGCTCAGTGCTAAGTCAGTACCTTTTGAGCTAAGTAACCAAACTGTTTATTCTAAACAGTAAATAGGGTCAAACACCCATGTTCTCGTTGTGAAACAACTTCACCTGATGGTTAAAGCTAAGCTCGCCATTAAAAATCATTTCGTGGGAATGGAAGTGTTTGGTGTGACGTGGATGTTCTGACGAACTGCTGGTCAAGAGTGAGACAACGTGTCCTACTGAAGACCTGGACGAGACTGAGTGATCACAGGCAGTCCTCATAGGCCAACGCTTTATTTTACTGTCAGTGGTTTCAGAACCTTCTACTGTCGTCTCAAACACTACCCATGGACTATTTTACGGAATGAAAGTGTGTGCTCCAACATGTGGAGGTGCTTGACATAAAAACCTGTAGTCCTCCAAATGGAACAGGTTCTTGTTTTCCTCTGGCGTTGACTTGAGGTGGCTTCTGAAGGCACATTGAAACCTGTGTATGGAACGTAGGAAAATGTCTTTAACACACTTTCCTCTTACTTTATGAATTCAGCCTGTAGCAGGAAGAGTAGGTCAGGCTGCTTTCAAATGAACTTAAAACATGAACCTAACCATTGTTTCTCTTTTAGTTGCTGTTGAAAAGATATCCACCATGGAGGTGTCAGAAAGTGCCGGTATGTATGGAGTCTGTTTGTGTGTCTCACACATGCTGCTACTGCTCGCCTCATTGTCCTGACATGTGCAGGCCCACACTGAACGCATTGGAGTAACAAAGCTTTTAGTGACTCTTGCATCATGAGTTTCAGAGACCCAATTTCTACCTTCTGTAGTCTTTCAGCAGTATTGACTCTGAGCATCTACATCTGCCACACGGTGCCTTTTTGCAGATTAAAAACTGAGTTCAATGTTTTTAACCACAAACTAACTGTAAAGTGAGTTTAGTTGTAGATAAGGATTGGTTAGTCTTTTGGTTTGTCTGGTTCTTGCTCCTTCACTGTGATATGGCCATATGTCAGTGGGAGATAATGCCACAAAATGTTCAGGAACATTTTAGAGAAGCATAAAGCGAATCCACCATTCAAAATCAGTTGAGCTGATTACATGTTCTTACGGTCTGTCATGATAACTACTTTAGATCAACGATGTATCGTCAGAGAAATATATTGTGACGGTGGCTAAGTGGAGAGCAGGGCCGTCCTTCAATCAGAGGATCGATGGTTCGATCCCCGGCTCCGCTAGTTGCATGTCGGTGTCCTTGATCAAGACACTCAACCCCCAAAAAAAAGCTCCCGTAGCTGTGCCTACGGTGTGATAGAATCTAAATTGTAAGTCACTTTGGATAAAAGCGTCTGCTAAATGACTGTAATGTCATTCATTCATTGACCAAAAATAAATATATCTATCCATCTATCCAAGTACAGCTTCTCAGAGCAATGCACTTTTAATTCTTAAGAATATTCAGACATTCGAATTAGAATGTGAAAAAAGTCAAATATCGTATATAAAGGAATCATAAATGTGTTTACACGTGACAACCACAACGGTTGGGCCACTTTTTCTTGGGTCATATAGCTTGTTGGCTGTGCACATATTAGACAGGTTTCTGTAATAGACATTGAAAATGAATAGTTACGGGCAAATGCAGTCATGTAGCTAAATATTTCCATAACTACTGGAAATCTACACAAAGTATCTAATGCAAGGATTTCTCTCTAAATTTCACAACACTAGAGCAGGGGTGTCAAACATATGGCCCGCGGGCCGGAACTGGCCCGCGGGCCGGAACGCCACGTCATTTTATGTGGCCCGCGAATCCGTTAGATTAAAAAAATATATATAATTATAATAATTTAAAGTTAGACTTGATAATAAAAATATCCCCATAGTCGAAGTTATGAGATAGAAAGTCGAAGTTATGAGATACTTAAACACACAGTCACAGAAGCAGCTCTTTGGCTGGTTACTGTACACTTGACATGGAAATGTATTGTGAGTACATTGAAGATACTTTAAAACACATGAAATACTTCACGTGGGATTGTGCAAACGCACCCTTGAAAGGATTTTAAGCATTGAACAAAGTTATTGTAATAACTTGTGTTTGATATTTGTCTTTAATAGTTTGATCTTTGATAGAGAAATGTGGGTTTCTTAACCCTAAATTAAAAGGATTTAAGTTATAACAGAAATGTGCTTAAATATATGTTTACATTTATATAACTGCATGTACAATATTTTTACACTTAAATAAACAATAATCAAATGCAGAGACAGTTATTTACCAATATGTTAGGAGTAGTTACATTTACACAGTCTTACATTTACAACCGGCCCTTTGAGGGAAACCATGATGCTGATGTGGCCCAGAGTGAAGATGAGTTTGACACCCCTGCACTAGAGAGAATGCAAGATTAAGGTACTTCCGCTTTACCTTTCAGCCGCCTGTCTGTACATCATGATCTTGTGTAGTGCATTTATTACGTATAACCCAAATCTTCGCTGACCCAGAAGTGTAAAACATGCTAGAAAGCTCCAGCAGAGACTGGTATGTCTGAAGGTTTGGGTGAAGCAGGTGTAGGTTATTTGCAGCAATTGGAGGCTCGAGATTGTTCTCATTGGATGATGTTCAACATGTGAAAGTTCCTACACCATGTCGTCATCATCATCAGTCAGTCTGGTTTTCTCCTGATTGGCCAGCAGATAGAGCTGAACACAATATCTTCTTTTTTCATTGAAAGCTTTGATTTGGTTTTTGAATGAAGCCCAAACAGTTTTTGATGGTCGTGACAATGTTGTTTTTTAAAATGCTAAACATCAACAAATGTGATGTGGAAAAGAATATTTTGTTATTGTGAATTATTTTTTAGGGTAACAAAAGGCACGTTAAGATACTAACGGTATCAACGATGCCAAACCATGACTAATCTTAGACCACAGTCCTCACATAGTACACCACACAGGCGACTGGAGCGGACACAGGGAATCATTGGTTATTGAAAAATGTGATTAACAATTTCAAATGGCTCTTATAATCTACACAATGGTTAACCACATAGATTAATTTTGACTGAGTGTGAGTGACATACTTAAGTTTTTTGTGAACTTCACCACAATGGTTGGATGTGTATGAATGTTATGGTCCTGGTGGACAGGTGGTACCTTACATGGTGGTCCTGGTGGACAGGTGGTACCTTACATGGTGGTCCTGGTGGACAGGTGGTACCTTACATGGTAGTCCTGGTGGACAGGTGGTACCTTACATGGTAGCCCTGTTATCAGTGTATGAATGGGTGAATGATGACATGTCGTGTTAAAGAGCTTTGAGTGGTCAGAAGACTAGAATAGAGAGAAACAAGTACAGTCCATTTACCATTTACACTACGTGCCATAATCCATGTTGTGGACACGCCTTTAACAGGCCAGCATCCGCTCTTCATGTGAAGCATTCTCACTAACTGAACTGCTTGCCCTCTTTCTGTAGTCTTCGATCATAAGTCTCCAGCCAAACATACAGAAAAGCAAACTTATGATCTGATCAAAACATTTTTCATGTACTGTAGATGCAGCTTGTATAGCTTGAATAAGTTGTGCACACATTCAGCTAATGGATTCTAAAATGTAGAAGTGCAACAGTAATCTGATATCATCGATGCAGAGTGAAAACATTGATGCATGTATTTAAAAATTCCAATGGCACTTTTGTGTCCTCCTTCCTACTGCGCCCAGTAATACAATTGTCAAATCATTTTTTAGTTGCTCACTGAATTTCTACTAATATAACCTGACTGTGTTAAATAGGCATATAATATCCTGGCACGACAGTAAGAGTTGCCATTGGCAGCCAGTTAGAGAATTTGGCAACCAATTCTTGAGGTTTGGTTTCCGTCAGTGGCAAGCACTCTTTAACATAAAGGTACAGCAAAATGTGCACCTCAAAATACATCGATTTCAAATAATCGTATTAGTGATATTTAAATATTGTGCTTACAGTCAGAAGCTGACAACACTGCACATGCGTCAATTGTGCGCACAGTCATCTCTTTTAAAGATGATGGAAAACCACATTCAGTTGTTTGGCTGTGGGGGGAACGTTTGACTAACCCGTCAGCGTCACAATTATTAAGCTGACATACAACTGAAGTATCTTAATCACGGGCCACCATACGTTGAGATCCAGCAACCAAAAGCTGATGCCTGGTTGCCAACCTGGCATCAGCTTTCAAAGTTAGTGTTAAGCCCTGCTTATCCTCTCATACCGTTACAGGCTCCTGGAGCAGGTTGCACCAACTGGTCTTAACTAAGCCTGGTCTTTGGAACAGACTTAAAGTAGGTTGCACCAACCAAACCTAGTCTTAACTTGGCCCGGTCTTAGTGATGCACGCTCGTGTGAATGCCCATGCAGCTATGCCTATTACCTTGTGTTTCCCAGGATTGAATAGGTGACACTTCCTGGACTCAGTTTGATCAGAATATGTGTCTGCCTTCTGTTTACTGCAGTGCAGAATCACATCTTCATCAGAAAGTTGCCTTGTAGGGCTAGACTTACTGGTGTTGTGTCTCTGTGCACAATACTTAACTGAAGGAGGAGCCTGCTCTACCACTGTGGTGGCTTCTTCTCCCTGTTGATGCTGCTCCATGTTTAAACTCATGGCATGATGGCTACCGCTGCTCATGCTGTCTGCTTTCCATGTAATGGCTATGTGAAGGCTAACAAATGCATGGAGCTAACTTACTGCTCCCACAATGCATTTTGTGCATCATAAGATAGACCCAACTACTCAATGACCACTTTCATTGCTAACTGTTTTATGTCTTTTAATGGATGAGTTGTTGAAGCCCTATAGTCCCTTTTGTTCCTTTAACTTACATGTATTATTACATGTATAACAGTTATTCAAACATTAGCTGATGTTTTGATGTACTTATAATAATGGAAGAAATAAAATATTTAGATGAGGTCCCAACAAGCCCAAAGCCTACGAACACATCCACTGGCCCCGTCGTTCACAGTAGAAGAAGTGCAGATTGTAGCCTTAACCTTTTCTCGATGGGAAAGTTTCTATCGGCATTGTGTCACTGCAGCACATACTGTTGCTGTTCTCTTCTGACACGTTTGTCAATGTACTCCCATTTTACATGGCTCTTTTACTTCATCTGAACATCTTGGTTTCATAGTAAACTCTAAAGATCCAGTAATCATTTTAATAATCTACAGACCGCCCAGGCCTAACTGTTGTTTTTATCCAAGAATTTGCAGAGCTACTCTTCCATTTTACCTCAAAGTATGACAAAATGCTTATGTTAGGTGATTTTAACATGCATGGCTGCTGCCCTTCACAGACTTTTGTCACTGATTGAATGGAAACCCTGGAATCTTTTAACCTCACTCAGGCTATACAGCCCCCCCCCCCCCCCCACCCACTCAAAGGGTCACACCCTGGACCTGGTTATTACTATTACTATTATTATCTAGTTCTTTAGTGGTCTCAACCTTGAGACTAAGGATATCTGTGTTTGATCACAAAGCGCTTTTATTCACACCTGTCAGACTGTCCCGGACTCAGTTGACCCCTGAGAGACAAAAGGTCGAGTAGAACACCCAGCCAGTTCATGAATCCACAGCATTTAAAGAGACTGTAGGAGAAAGGAACCATGTATTTTATAAGGGATGCAATGAGGACTTATCAAACGGCAGTTAAAGGTGCCACAACTTCCTTCTTCTCCAACTTAATTTTAGCAAATCACTCAAATCCGAGAATTTTATTTTAGATAATCGACTCTGTGGTCCCACAACTTTTTTTACAAACAGAGTCGAGGACGTCAGGCAACCCCCCCCCCCCCCCCCCAACTTGATACAGTTGGGCCCAGTATTGTATTGATTATTAATAGCTCAATAGCAACAGGAACTGTTCCAACTACTTTTAAACATGCTGTGGTCCACCCTCTTTTAAAGAAACCTAATCTTGATCTGTCTGTTCTTAGCAATTTTAGACCCATTTCTAAACTTCCATTTTTATCAAAAGTGGTTTCATCCCAGCGTTTAGCTTTAATGTGTCTTAATAACGTCTTGGAGAAGTTTCAGTCAGGGTTCAGAGCTTGAGACCTGATGATCCAAGAAGCCTAGCTGCTATTTTAGACTGTCTTAATGAGACACATTTTCTTCAACTCAATAACTCAAAATCATATTTAGTCCCTTAAACCAGTCAATCAGTCCCATTAAAAGTGCCCTTGGCCCCCTGCTGATTAACATAAAGTCCACTGTCAGAAATACTTAACAGCAGCCCTACCACACAGCAGCCGTAGATGAATAAGGACCCTTCTCCTTTATTCCTCAGGTTTATGTGGGACTAGTGGCAGTTTTTACTGATTGATACAGAAAACCCCATGTTTATTAGGAGCATCTTTGCTTCTTGTCTTTTCTTTTGTTCAGACACTGATCACAGCAGTTTACAGTAAACAAGGTCTCTTGTGATAAAACCAAATATGCTGCTGATTCTTGATCTGCAGCTCAGTGGTGGTTAATGAGCTCTGTCTGTATTTCACCCTGAATGATGTGGACTGTGTTGGTGGCTGTGCAGCTCCAGTGGAAAACGGCGACTCGGAGATTACCGCAGAGGAGCCGTGGGACCAGAAAGAGGTCGAGCCGGACGAGGAGGAGCCAGGAGGCGGGTCTTATGGGGACCGGGGACCATCGGTGGCAGCAACTACGGAGGAGACGACTCCGGAGACGATGGAGGAGGAAGAGGAAACGCCAGCGCCCAAGGTGCCACCTACTCAGCCAGATGCCCCCAAGAAGGAACACATCAATGTGGTGTTCATCGGACACGTAGGTCAGTGATAACACCTGTCTTTGTGTCTATTGCCATTCATTGAATGATCACATTAACAGGAGGGTCGGCAGATTACCAATTCATAGTTTCTTTATAAGAACTATAATTGACAGCGAGGCTCCAGCCAGACTAAACATTTTTCCTAAAACCCTCACCAGAAATAATTTCAACCGTCCCGAAGTTTGCGTAAACCGTCGTAAATTTTAAACGTTATCCTTTTACCTCATCTATAGTAGTTACAAAAACAGTCAATTCAAATGTATTTTTATTTAAATATTGCTTTGATTTAAATAAATCTTGGCGCGTGCGTCAGTGACGTTACGGCGGCACACGTGTGCAAATATCAAACTGATTGGCCTATCAGCTGAAAAGCAGCTGGTTTGGATCGGCAGCCTATTTATCGGTGCAACTCTCTATAGAAATGGCTCTCAAGAGAAAGGTGGGGGTATCAATGATGTGACAGTCAGGTCCAGCTGCGTGTCCTGTCTGTTAGTGTCACCACTCCACCTTTACTCTGTCATCAGTCATTGTGGCCTGTTGGCACTCAAAAGACTTCAAACCCAACGGTTCAGAACGTCTCTTCTCATGTGGTCGCACAGCATAAAGTTCAACAAAGCGTTGCTGAAGGTGACGTGGTCTGAGGCAGCTCTGAAGCTAGCCAATGACGGCGGTCAAAAACTTTGTTACTCAATTTTAGCTTGTCTTTTGGTGAAATATGAATATAATGATGCATGGCAATATCTAACTATATGGAAAGTGAATACCAACTTTGACGCTGCGGTGTTCCGTTATTTAAAACCTCTGGGTTTTGGACATTCGAGGTTCCCTCCCGACAGCGACGCAATGTAATACACCGTTTGTCTGATCTAAACCCGGTCTGCGTTCTTCTCTAGATGCTGGCAAGTCCACTATTGGGGGACAAATCATGTGAGTAGCAGTCTTCCTTTTAATGGTTCACCGCCTTTCCTTGTAATAAGTGAAATGACATTCACCACATCAGGCTTTGACTTGTTTCCATCCTCTTTAACAGGTATCTAACAGGCATGGTAGACAAAAGAACCTTAGAGAAGTACGAGAGAGAAGCCAAGGAGAAGAACCGGGAAACCTGGTGAGTGAAAGCTCTGTTACTCAATCTAGAGCATGGAAAGATGCTCTATGCTGACTGAACTAAAATGGATATAGTTGTGAGGTTTGACTCTTAATTTTCATTTGTATTGAGTTAATATGGTCAGGAACCATGTGTGGCTGTTTAATCAGCTGGTCCAATATTAGCTGAGATCATCAGCGTAGATTTAATAGATACATCTGTATTAGTGTCTCAGATTTCATTGTGTCCAATATGAATTGTCTGTCTCCCAGGTATCTGTCTTGGGCGTTAGACACTAACCAAGAGGAGAGGGACAAAGGCAAGACGGTTGAGGTGGGCCGAGCCTACTTTGAGACAGACAAAAAGCACTTTACCATCTTAGACGCTCCAGGCCACAAAAGCTTCGTTCCCAACATGATCGGAGGTGCATCACAGGCGGACTTGGCTGTTCTGGTGAGTTCAGAGAATGAAAGTGGAACATCAGATCAGAGCTTCATTAGTAGGCTTTGTGTACCCAGTAGTCTTTGAAAGCAAAGAGGTCCAGCAATTACAATCAGCTAGGGTTGAATTTACTGAATGTCAGTTCTTTCGGTACATTTGAAGCTTGTATATTGAGGTTTTGGAGTGATGCTTTGAATGTCTGTCAACATGTATTATAACATAATAACACAAAATCCTCAATTTGAATTGTGATTCATCAGACTAAAGTTTTATTTTAAGTAAATCAACTGTCTGGAGTGAATATGAGTGCAGGCCTCCCTTTGTGCCGAGCTGGAGAGTTAACTGTTTTTACCGCAAAGAAAAGATAAACGGCAACAAGTATAGATTGAAGCAGAATCTTTTGTTTGATTAAAAACATTTTTTGAAATGATTAAATCTATCAATGGCTTTTGAACTTGACAATGCTCTGATCTGTATCTGTTGCTGTGCAGAAATGTTGCCTTTGAATAGAAAAACCAAAGTGCAGCATTTGACTGTTTATTTAGAATTTGATTGTCAACGTTATGAATGAAGCTTCAAACTATTCGGTACAGACTCGCATTACCCAACCTTGGAGACGAAGGCACATGAAAGCATTAAAAGGGAACATTCACTGTCAATAAGTGAAACGGCAACATAAAGTAAACCCCTGCTCCATCAGGGTTCCCATTGAAAACGCACTGATAGCTGTTCAACCAAATGGCCACAAACAAGTTTCTTTATGTAATCTGTAACATCTTTATATGTTAAGAGACTTTTGTGACATTAGTTGGCTACAGCAAGGATTCACTCTTGTGTTTTTGTAGCACTTGTAGACAAAACCACTGACTGACTGAATGTGTTGACTCTCAGGTGATCTCTGCCAGGAAAGGAGAGTTTGAAACTGGTTTTGAAAAGGGTGGACAGACGCGAGAGCACGCCATGTTGGCCAAAACAGCTGGCGTCAAGCATCTGATAGTTCTGGTGAATAAGATGGACGACCCGACAGTCAACTGGAGCCTGGAGAGGTGGGTAGATCCACTGATCGACCGGAGCAGAAGCACTCTAAACTCACACTGAGCAGCAGCTCCTCAGTCACATTTGTAGAATATCAATAAGTAAATTAAAACCGATGTGACTGTGCTCAAACTGAATTACAAATCAATTTGCATGTCCTCGCTGAAACCTTGTATGTCCAAAACCCTGTGTTTTTAGTCGACTTTAAAGTTTGTTTGTTTTTATATCTGGTCAGATATGTGCATGTGTCATGGCAGTGTTTTATTGGCCTGCATTACATTGAGGTGCTCTAATATTTAGTCTCCTTTATGTATGTAAGTGCCATAGGATGTTAACCCAGATACCGAGGACTCGGTACATGTCCTCTACACACACACACACACACACACACCATATATTTGAAGTCCTCCTTGCTCCCTCCTGTTGTTGAACCCTCAGGTATGAAGAGTGTAAGGAGAAACTAGTGCCATTTTTGAAGAAAGTGGGCTTCAACCCGAAGAAAGACATTTACTTCATGCCGTGCTCCGGACTGACCGGATCCAACCTGAAGGAGCCCACTGACCTGTGCTCCTGGTACACGTACGTCCTCCAGCTTCCTCTCGTCATGCTGACTGTGTCCCCTGTTCATCCATGTCTACTAACTGCTGTCCTATTCCATGTCATTTCAGAGGGTTACCATTCATTTCACACTTGGACAGTTTGCCACATTTCAAGAGATCAAGTGATGGCCCCGTCAGATTGCCCATCGTAGACAAATACAAGGTACGAATAGCTTGATTCGTGCCTTTACAAGGAAGCCCATGAAAGGTTGTTGGTTTCAGACAGATGCCACCAAGCATTGGCGAACACATTTCAACTTTCTGTAGGTGCAATGTGGACGTCTGCATCCCAAAAGTGTAGACATTGGTAAAACACTGGTGTTCAGAATGTTGATTGTATTTTATACATAACGTACAAAACCACACTTGACATTGAACATAAAAGGGCTCACCTAAACAGAATACACTTTGAATATGTTGCAAGGAAGGCACGTTCTGCTGTCGTCCTCTGATCCATCTGACATTTAATAATTACAAAACCAATTTGCACAAGCTGTACACTGTTATTTTTGAATCTGTTGCTGGTGGTTTGAACTTGCTGGTGCATGATTTAACAAGTCTGCTGATTAAGGGAACGCTCTGTGTATTTCACAGTATACCGTAGTGTCTGGTGTCATTGTTTGAACCTGCAGGCAAACCTATACCACTTTTATTAGTACACAGATTAAACATGTGAAGTTTCTGCATTTACTGCCCTGGTTGTTGAAGCTTGACTGAGTTTATTGATCCCTCTACTGTTGAGGGAGTATATATGTAATGTGCACATGGACAGTGCTATTATCCAACATTTGCTTATCATATCTAAGTTTGTACAAAGTCTTCTCTGTGAACTGACACAACAGAATCTTTAATGGAGTGAAGTAAACACGTGGTTCTCTATCGATCTATCTCCTCAGGACATGGGCACTGTGATTCTGGGCAAACTGGAGTCGGGCTCCATCAGTAAAGCACAGCAGCTGGTCATGATGCCAAACCGGGTAAGATATCCCACAAGCCCTTTCTTCCATCAGCTGGAACCAAGAAGTTGAAAGACGAGAAAGCAAAAAAAAAAACTATAGAACTATTTTTTAGTTTTAGATTTTCTAAATGGTGTCAGTGCAAACATCCAAATGCCTTCCACTGACTTTCACTCAAACATATTTACTATATAGAACATGCATTGTTTGTGTCATCAAAGAGTAACTAAACCCCCGAGTGTTGGCTGAAGAGCCTCTAGAAGGTGATGCCGAGTCGCAGCTATCGTCTGTTACCATGTAGCATTCTAATCCCAGTACAAGCCTTTCTCTGCGACATCACACCGTCAGACACGGCCCTTTGTCACCTGGCTCCAGATCAGCCAATAGCACAATTCATTCACAATAGCTAAGTTTGAACCACACATTTATAATACAATATGTAGAATTAAATCCATCCACAACACTACTAAATACCAATTACCATGGTTTTCAGCTGAAACCAGTGGTTTGGGGGTTTAGTCCCGAATTCTTCATGTTCCTCATAGATGAAGTATTGAAGGGATATAATGTGTTAAACTGAAGCGATCTTTGCGTAAATGTAATTACTGACTATTGTCAACTAGGTATCTTCAACTTAGTCCTACACATCAAGTTTGCCCTAGTTGTTAAACGGCACAAGCAAACACAATCTCAGTCATTCTTTGTCTTCTCCTTGTCCCCTCCATGTTTGTCTACCTGTCCTCATGCAGCATGTGGTGGAGCTGTTGAGTCTCCTGTCAGATGATGTGGAGACAGACGATGCCGGGCCGGGGGAAAACCTCAAGCTGCGGCTGAAGGGCATCGAGGAGGAGGAGATCCTGCCAGGTTTCATCCTGTGTAATGCCGAGAACCTCTGCCACTCAGGGCGCACGTTCGACGCCCAGGTCAGTGTCACTCAGCGGCTCCCAGTCCCACAGCCCCAGTTTACTGTTGCTCAGCAATGTAAGATCTGGGTTCACTTCCCAGCAGCAGTGCACCCGGTCCAGCCAGGTATTCCAACCATCACATGTGACCGTGTTAATGGGCGGGGAGCCACTAAGGGATCTGTTCCCGATTGGAGGACTAGAGCGTGCAGCTGGTGTGGTGGTCCATCCCTCCCCGTTACCACTGTCTGGATACCTTTGAGCAAACTGCACCAGTGGAACCAGAGCAGTGGGAGTGTTCATTAAAGTGACAACATGTCTGTTTTTGTATGCACCTGCTCATAACCACTGAAACTCTTACTCACAGATCGTCATCATCGAACACAAATCCATCATCTGTCCAGGTTACAACGCAGTCCTTCACATTCACACCTGCATTGAAGAAGTGCAACTTACAGTAAGATCTAATGCTAACTTAACTGTTACCCTGTTACCATGACGCCGCTGCAGAAAGACAGTCTTGTTTTCGAGGTGGACTTGTGACATCTGAGCAGTTGGCTGATTGTATCATAGCTGTGTATGTGCTGATATTCTGTTACTTCTGTCTGCAGGCCTTAATCTGTCTGGTAGACAAGAAGACTGGAGACAAGAGTAAGACACGGCCACGATTCGTCAAACAGGACCAGGTCTGCATCGCCCGTCTGCGCACGGCAGGAACCATTTGCCTCGAGACCTTTAAAGACTTTCCTCAGATGGGACGGTTCACCTTACGGGATGAAGGTACATTTGATTGTCAATTTATTGATGAATTATGTTTTTGATTAAACATTTAGTCTATAAATGCTGAAAGAAAGAATGTGGTGAGAAAATACGCGTTACAATTTCCCAGAGCCCAGTGTGAGGTCTCCAAATATGTTGTTGTTGGACCAGTAGCCCTGGACCCCAAAGACATTCAGTGTATAGTGAAGAAACATTGTTTGCACGATAAATGACTTCAAATATCAAGATTAGGAGGTGGTTCAACTAACCACCTCCTAATAACCTCATTAGGATGCCAGCATGACGGGATGCTGCGTCATTAACACATGATGCATAAAGTCAAAATCAATGTAATTAACACAATGACAAGAACAAACTCACAAGAACCAGTCACACATATTTATATGACAACAAAGCAGGTAGAATAACAGAAAACCCAAATAACACGATTCAACAGGCTTCTGCACAATCCAGCAACACTGCAGCGCTTAAACACGTATTCCACCACACACTGAAGAGCACCATTCAAATATTATTCACATCAGAGGGAACAATATTCACCATATCATAAAAACGACACCATAGACAAATGAAGACAGTAGTAACGCTACTTGGATGTAAAAACAAAGCAGTTCACTTACCAAAGCTGCTGTTCCCTTAAAGACAAAGTCATCCTCCTTTCTTTGTTAACAAAGAGTTCAATGACGCGGTTACGGTTGTACAGAACATCGGTGTGGTTCAGTTCCAGTAAGAAGTCCTTCTCTATTCATGGACGCCAGTGATGACAGTCGAGCCTCCCCAGTTGTATTTCTTGAATACGTTTTAATGCGTTTGAGGGCTGAAAATGTCCGCTCCACAGAGGCAGCAGATATTGGGACTGTCACCGCCCAACATGCCAAAACGCTAAAAATGTAGTGTCACGTAAAAACGTCTTGCATATCTTTGAACTTTAACTCTTTCTACTACAAAGTTCTGCTAGCTAGTTTTACAACAGTCACGCGATTGCAGCTGACCAATCAAGCGGCATGTTAAGGCTGACGTACTTGTAGGCCACCTCGGTAGCTCTGACACATCAAAGAATATGCCCAACATGCCAAACTAAAGATCTGATTGGTTGAAGACTATGACAATCAACAATATCCTCCCCATTCACTTAAAATGCAAAAGGATTCACTTGTGATTCTGAAGGGCAGATTTCTTTACCTAGAGACAGCGTAGGGGTGAAATCTGATTGGATAAAAGCTCTACTTAAAACAAGCTTCCAGCGCAACTGAGGAAGACAGTAGCCATCTCCTGATGTCGATTCACAAATGATTTTTTTCAACAAGGAATTATCTGTAGCCAATCAGATGTCTCTATTGTCAACTGATCACATGAGTGCGCCCCCATGAGGGAATACTCTTACGTCCACACAGGGTCGAAACCTGGGAACATGGTGGAAAGGAATCAGACGGCCCAAAACACTCTAAAGAGATACAGAGGAGAGACCATCATCTGGCAAACAAACTGATAACGCTAGCTCAGCTAATGTTAGCTAACACTAGCCAACATGCGCCGACACTGGGGAGACGCACTACTCTCAGCTGTCATATTACTAATATATCAAAGTAATGCAGGCTGCTCATGTCTTCTCTGAGTAACATCTATACTGCAAACCAAGGCATTGGTTCCTTATGACAACTTTAAGGAAGCAACTTAGCTACCTGACAACTTAACTGGATTGGTTGAAAATGGAGAAGACATCTGATTGGCTACAAATAATTCCCTGTGGAAAATAATGAATTTGTGAATGGATGTTGGTTCACACAAGCAGTTTGTAAATGTAGGGTCAACAGTTTGTAAATGAATGTAACATCCAATTCCTTTAAATACATATACCTGTGGATTTATTTTATATTTACTTAGAATAAGAAATAATTGTGTACATCAGGAATATGTGTGTGTATATATATATATGTGTGTGTGTGTGTGTGTGTGTGTGTATATGTGTACAGTTGTGTGAAAACGTGTTTGCCCCCTTCCTGATTTCTTATTTTTTTTTTGCATGTTTGTC